TTAGAATCACCTGGGAATCTTTTTAAAATCCTGATTTCTGGGCTTCATCCTCCGGTAATTCTGTTTCTTTGTTATGGGGTGGGGCCACAACATTAGTAACAAAGTAACAGAATTTCCGGAGGATGAGGCCCAGAAATCAGGATTTTAACAAGATTCCCAGATGATTCTAATGTGCAGCCCAAGGTTGAGAACCACTGCGTTAGAGGCTGGAGAGATGAACTCATACTTGGGGGCTCTGAGGTCTCAGACTCCTTGTTCTCACATGTATGGTCACAGGGGTGTCACTGTCCTCCCTCCATTGGCCTTGAAGCTCCTTGAGGCTGGAAGACGTGTCCTGGTCACCCTGCCTCCCTGTGGTGCCTGAATACATAGACATACAAATGGTCCTCAAGGAGGAACTGAAGCAGTGAGCCGCACTGCTCCCCAAATGAAGTCAGAGAATAGTACTGTCACTGAATCATGAGAAAGGCTAAGTACTACTTTTTAAAAAGCAAGTTTCAGAAGTTGAATAAAACAGTGGCTTCATTAGTATTTTCCTGATGAAATCAGGGTCACATATGTTGGAGCTGAAATAAAATCTATACTAATCTAAGTACACGTACTTCTAGACAGGTCTCAAATGATGAGCATTTTCTCTGCTTTTTTTTGGTAGGTAAGGAAACTGAGGCACAGAGAGGTGCAGTAACCTGCCTACAGATACACAACCAGAGTGGAGGAAATCAGATGTAAATTTAGGCCGTCTGGCTCCTGTCCTGCCCTCTTCATCAGTATCCCTTATGCCTATCAATAGTTAATTTTACTGGGTGAGTGCTGTTGTTGCAACACTTGTTTTTAAAATTCAACGTATATAGCCCTGGCCGGTGTGGCTCAGTTGGTCGGGTGTCGTCCGCACATTGAAAGGTTGTCAGTACGATTCTGGGTCAGGGCACCTGCCTGGGTTGTGGGCTGGATTCCTGGTTGCTCTGTGTAAGTGTGTGTGTGTGTGTGTGTGTGTGTGTGCACACACGCATGTGTGCAGGAGGCAGCTGATTGATGTTTAACACTCACATCGATGTTTCTCTCTCTCTCCCTTTCTCTTTCTCTAGAGAATAAAAAACTAATAAAATAAAATTCAATATATAAAAAAGTGCCAGATATCCTCTGTGGGTTATAAATGCAAAAGTATTGCTACTTCTTCCATAATGCATGCATGTGGAAAACCTCACATGGTGAGTAGTTCTAGTTCTCCATCAGGGTACACAGTCAGTGCTCAATAAATGCTGGCTGGCCTGATATTTGTTCATACTGCCAAACCTACTTCTCCAACGCCTATACAATTTATACCTGTCTAAACCTTTCTGTCTGTCTTGAAACTTATTCCCAGAAACCCCATGTGTGGGGAGGGGGTCCTGACTCAAAGGCCCAAGGGTCTCACGCAGAAGGAGGCTGAACTGGGGAGCAGACGTCCCGGGGACTCAGCTCCCACCGAGAGCGGCTGTATGAGATGGTAGACCAGCAGGCCCCACCATACGGATTTTTAACGGGAGCTGGGAGTTTGAGTTTTTAAATGAAAAAATACCTTACTTTTAAATGTTGGGGCCCTAGCCAGTTTGGCTCAGTGGATAGAGCATCGGCCTACGGACTGAAGGGTCCTGGGTTTGATTCCAGTCAAAGGCACATGCCGGGGTTGTGGCTCAATCCCTAGTGTGGGGCGTGCAGGAGGCGGGCGATCAATGATTCTTTCTCATCACTGATGTTTCTATCTCTCCCTTCCTTTCCCTTCCTCTCTGAAATCAATAAAAATATATATTAAAAATAAGTAAATGTTGGGGACCAAGTCAAAATTTTGGGGAGTGTAGCCCATGACCCACCTTTGTGGGCTATCTGAGGACTCAGGCAGGCTCCACGTGGAACCCATAGTTCCACATTTAAGAACATGGAATTTGGACTCGGTCAGACCTGGGTCTGGGCAAGCTGCTGGGCCTCAGTGTTCTCATGTGTCACGTGGCTGAGAGCACACCTGTACAGGGTACAGGGTACAGGGTACAGGGTACAGGGTACAGGGTGCTGGAAGAGTCTCTGTCACATTGGATGCAGGCAGGGCTGCTGCGGCTCCTGGCTCCCTGCTAAGTGGTAGCCCTGAGAAGGGAGCACGCCCTGCGCCAGCTTCTGGAGTAAACCCTCTATGCGCATCCACTTATTTAACACAAAGAAACGCTCACTATTTGAAGACACGTGCACACGCGCATCCCTACCACAGAAGTTACATTTCTGGGATATTTTTATACAAGGGAACTCGGAAGGCTGAGAAAGGACTTAAGTCGGTAAAATAAATGTTGATGATGTGTCATGTGCTTCAGGCCAAGCACATCATACATCATGCCATCCACTTATTCACTCATTCATTCATCCAACAGAGAGCGCTGGAGTGCCTTGAGGTGCTGGGCACTGCTATAAGACACTGGGGGCACAGGGCCTAGGCCGGGACAGGTAGGGAGCCCCTATTTGAATGTGGAGAAGGACGACATAATGTCAGGAGGGAGGGAGGACGGTCCTCAGCCAGCGCAGTCAGGGAAGGCCTCCTGGAGGAGGCGACACTGTGAAAGTTGTGGACTTCTGAGAGGAGGTGGCCTAGCAGACAGCTTTGTCTCCTGTCCTGAGTGACCGTCCCCCATGCAGCAAGTCTCCCCGCATATAGTTGTGGCTCTTACCTGCTCCTCCTCCTCCCTCAAGCTGGGCAAGGTGCTGATGGAGAGATTGACAGCGGTGATGGTGACAAAGAGCACTGACAGGCAGGCAAACACCTTGCCTGGCAGCCCCGAGTGCGGCCTCTCCACCATGTCACGCAGCCTCCGCATGCAGTGGCCCCGGTGGCCATCCCCCTCCGCCAGGCCTTCACTGTCCTGGCTGTCACTGTCCAGCGGGTCTTCCTCATCCTCCCGCTCCACCATCTCGGCAAACTCCTCCATCTTCTGCAGGTAGCGGCGCTTGCAGCAGCCGTCCAGGTGGTCCTCGGCGATGCCCCAGTACAGCAGCTCCTCCTGGAAGGACAGGGCACACATCTCACGCAGCAGCCGCAGCTTGCCCGCCCGCAGGAAGGTCAGGATGGTGCCGAAGGCCCCCGGGTTGCGGTCGAAGAAGAACTCGTTGCAGGTGACATCGTAGTCATCGCACACGTTGAGGATGTCGTCAAAGTTGGTGCAGGCCTTGAGCTGGCCCAGCCGCGTCATCGGGAACTCCTCGAGCGTGGTCCAGGGCAGCGAGTACTTGATGCCACCCACATTGATGATGATCCGCCTCCGGCGGTCCTCGGGCAGGCCGGCCTGGCGGGGCTCATCCTGAGGCCGCAGCCGCTGGGCCCGGCGGTAGAAGACGCCCTTGAGTGACTGGCTCTGCGGGAAGAAGGCGGGGTGGGAGGAGGCGTCGGAGGTGCAGCTCAGGGCGCTGTAGTCGTAATCAGAATTGTCTCCTGGTAAGAGGGTCATTTTGAGTCTTCACATCCCTCTCCAGCCTGGGGGAAGAAGAGAGGAGAGACCCTCAGTGACTCCCGAGTCTCAGCTGACAATGCTGATCCTGTGATTATTTGCTGCTGTGGACTGAATTGTGTCCGCCAAATTCACAGGGAGAAGCCCTAACCCCAATGGGACCATATTCAAGGTGGGGCTTTGGGGCGGTGACTAGGTTTAGATGAGGCCATGAGGGTGGGGCCCTCATGATGGGATTAGTGCCCTTATAAGGAGCCCTGCCCCTCCACCCTGTGAGTGCCCAGTAAGGGGGCACCATCTACAAGCCAGGAAGAGAGTCCTCATCAGAACCCCACCAGGCTGGTGGCCTGATCTCAGACTTCACCTCCCCTCCTCACCCCGAACTGTGAGCAATAACTGTCTGTTTGTGAGCCACCCAGTTCAGGTATTTGGTTACAGCAGCCCAGTGGACAAAAACATTCACTTAAGAATGAAAATAGCAACGGCATCCTTCAGCATCCCTAAGTGTTACAGTTCCTCCACATCCGCCTCATTTACAGAAGTACGCTGAGAGCTGCTGTGTGCCAGGCACTGCTGTAGGCTCTGCTGATTCACAGCCACTCACAGAATCAGACAGGGTCCCCAGCCCGCGGAGCTGGCATCCCACTGGGCTGCCAGGCAACCTCTGTACTATTATTTACTTAAAACTTCCTTGTACATTAGCTCCAATTTTTTTTTTTTGCATTTATTTAGCTTGTAAAGGTAGTTTAGTGTAGACTAGTGGTTCTCAACGAGGGCCAATTTCTCCCCCAGGGGACACATGGCAATATCTGGAGGCATTTTTTATTATCATGTCTGGTGGATGTTGCTGGCATAGTAGATAGGGGCCAGAGATACTTCTAAAATCCCTACAGTGCACAGGCCAAGCCCCACAATAGAGAATTATCTGGTCCCCAAAGCCCACAGTGCCGAGGAGGAAAGGTGCTGGTGTGGTGGTTATGAGCATAGCCTTGGAGCCTCATGGCCTGGGCAAGTTACTCAACCTTCACGTGTTCTAATGTCCTCATCTGAGAAATGGGTATAAACATACGACCTACTCCATAGAACTATCAAGACGATTCAATGAAGAGTACTTAATACAGTGCCTGGCACATAGTAGGTATGCAATGATTATTATTACTATTTGTATTTATCTTGGAGGGATATTGCTCTTATAAATGGGAAAAGTATGTCATTTGCCACCAATAATAGATAATGTCCAAAGAAATGCAGTTATAATAACAGTGCCACATTCGTTCATGAATCAGCAAACATCCTCTTGAGGATACAGGCGTGAACAAAGACAGGCATGCTTGCTCCTCCAGGAAGCCTTCTTGGCTTTGCCAGCTAAATCGAGCTTCCTCTGCCCCCCTTCATAGTGCATTTATCTCCACTGCACTTATCACCCATATTTAGAATTATCTGTGTGCAAGCCTGGCTTCTTTATTAGACTCCCCGCTCCCTGGGCGGGGGGGGGGGGGGGGGGGGAAAAATGAGGGGGGGGGTGGAGGGAGTAAGAACTGTACTTGACTCATCTCTTAATCTCTGTGCCCAGCAGCATCGGAGCTCAAAGAAGTGTTTGCTAAATGAGTACATTTCCTGCTGGAGAGGCTGACATGGTGAGGGCACTTCTGAGAAACTGAGGTCAAAGTATGAGCTTACGTAGACTCCTTCCTTCCCAATCCTCCAAGCTAGAATGAGATTGCTTATTCATCTATAGCTCCTGGGTCGAATTTGGTTCACAAATATTTTTCCTGGCTTGGAGAAGATTTTGAAAGATGAAAAATTTTATGTAAAAATTCATATTCTTGGTTTCTCTTGAAACCCAGACTATCTGGCAACATTTGGCCCAAATTCCAGCCGAGAGATGACTGTCCCCTTTAAGCAGGGCATGCATGCTGCCATCCGCCACAGCCCCCTCCTCTCCCTGTTGCCTTCTTAACACCCCTCTACTTCCTGGCCCCTGTAAGCATTTGAATTTGAGATCCTCAAATCATAGCAACAGAGGTTTCCAGAATTAAGCCAATCTATAGAAAAGTGGTGAGTATAATCTATATATATAAGAGCCAAGCAACCAGAACTACCCAACCACCAGTCACTATGACGCACACTGCCGAGGCCAACCGCCGGATAGGGCCCCAATTGGCGCCCCCAACCTCCTGCCCCTAACCTCTTACAGCCCCTCCCCTACCCCTCCCCCAGCTGCTGGCCCACCCCCAATTGCCCTATCAGGCTCGGGCGGGACCCCACCCCTGCACGAATTTGTGCACCAGGCCTCTAGTTGCTTTATAAAAGCACCATCCCTCCTCCAAACCCAGTCCCCATGGAAGCACGTGGCACCATCAAAATCCATCAATTCCACATGGAAACTCATTTCCAGTACCTGAATGTCAATGTGTACCCTGGACACACACACACACCTGTTCAGATGAGAAACAGTGTTTAATAGGAGTCAGGGTGGGGTTTGGGGAGGAGATCTTTCCTAACATGAATCCTTCAAAAGTGATGGTTTCGTCACTCATTTACCTTTGGGGAAAGCTAGTTTCACAGATTCGGTTTGGAAAGACCAGGTTATACCTGTGCTTGAAATAAAAATGATTTGGTTTTAGAGTATTGAGAATGCTATTAACTTGACCTAAAATTGGAGTCCATCTCCTCAGGCAAAGCTGCCATAATTCCTCCCTTCCCCCCTCCCCCCCCCACAAGAGTGACAGGCGTCCCCTTTAGGCACTTCATACCCCGACCATCATCTTCAGCTCTGCTGCTGTGTCTTTGCCACCGAAGACAAGAGGAACCCGACATTCTGTTTGGCAAGAATGATGATGACGGAGGCCAAAGAACATTCCTCTGGCCCTGCAAGCCCCGGAGGGCTCCTGTGAAACCCACACGGGGTGCTGCCAACCCCTCTGCTCTTGAGGAATTTCTTCCTTCTGCCCCCAGCGTCCCCTCCAGCAGGAAACTCCCCCAGTATGTGTTAACTCCTTTCTTTCTCTCACCACGGGGGTCTGTTGTGAGTTACAGCCTCCGCGTCCTGTGTGAAAAGTTATCCTGTCTCAGCAGACGGTTCAGGATGGAGAAGAGGGAGAAGCACACGTCATTCAGGCCACTCGTCCTCAGAGGGCCACACCTGGCATTTGCTAGCTGAGGAAGGGGCACACTTCTCGCTCCCAGTCCAATGGGTGTTGGGGGACGGCTCCACATGCTCCAGACTCTACAGTCCCCAGTGAAGGTCATAAACCCAACGGGCCGCCAAGTCCTGCTTCTGAAAAGTAACGCCACTTCTCACCCAGCCTGACACCCTCACAGAAAACCCGGTCTTTTAAAAGTTCTCTGTGGTGTTGGGCCTGTCACTTCGAGAGCATGATGGACGATAGTGGTTTTACCTCTGAGGCCTATGGATTCCAGCTTGAGGGACAACCTGCTGACCACCTGAAGCTGGGGAAGCAGAAGAGCCCACAGGCTCTGAAATCCGGAGACGCGGGTTCAAGGCCAGTCACTGTGACTCTGGGCAAGACATGTCCTGCCTCTGAGACTCAGTTTCCTCATCTGTAAAATGGGGATGTGAATAGCTCCCGCCTCCTTGAGTTGTGGTGAAGACTAAAGCAAATGACACAGTGACATGATCGCCCCAATGCCGGGCATGAAACGGACACCTGCTGTATTATTATAAGCGATGGGGGAGAGGGGAAGAGTCTGTCATCTCTCCTTCCACCAGCCAAGGGTGACTCTTTTCTTGACCTGATCCAGAGGGATTTGAACCCAGCGTTGTCTGAGCCTCAGAGCCCACTGCTGGGGGGATGTGGTTTTGTGTGCCTCTGGGAAAGCCGCCAGGGATGCAGAGGGAAATGAAGGGGGCTGCTGCCTTGTGGCCCAGGAATCCCACTGTGGGTAGATTTCTCAGATCTGGGTTTACTGGGGTCTTGGCAGGCATTGCGGTAATAAATTATTTGCACTCAAATCCTCGACTCAGAATCTACTTCTGGGGAAGCAGATATAAGAGAGAAACAAGGTACAAGAATGTGCACCCCATGTTGCGGGTCATGCTAAGAGGTCCCCTCGTGTCCCTCGGGGTGGGGTTGGGGGGATAGACAAGGGAGTCGTGGTAGATGCAGATGGTGGACCCCTATAGATGGCACAGGAATTGGAAGCAACAAACTAGATGTAGATTTAGCAACACATTTAGGTCTTGGAAACATGGTGCCGAGTGGAAAAAGAAACAGAAGTTTATAGCACTATGCTATTTATGTAAATGAGCACACACACTATTACATATTTTACAAAGGCTCCTGTACATGCAGGGATCTATATCACCCACAGGGAGGGTGCCTGGAGGGAGGGAAAGGGGGACAAGCGTGGGGAATGGGGACTGCAAGGAAGGGGCCAGTGAATAATATGGCCCAGCCCAGGCCCAGGATGAAGAGAGAAATAGACAGAGTGTGGTTAACACAACTCTGGGCTTTAATCCAGGTAAAGAAAAAAAAAAGAAATAAAAATAAAAATGGAAGCATAAGAGCAACCAAGCCACTGGGTTCTGACTTGCCTGATGATCAGTGGAGATGCAGACGTCCCAGCCTCTCCCAGACCTTCGTACCCAGATGCTGGAGGGGCGGCCCAGGAGTGGGCATTTTGACCGGTTCCCTTAGAAAGTCTCACAAATGCTCAGGAGAGAGAGGCTGCCATGAACGCCTAGAGATTCCCCCAGGGACTGGGGTGTAAGAGCTGCTCTGAGCTTCGGAGGGGAGCCCCTTGCCCAATCTCTCAATGTCCTTGGGGTTCTGGAAGGCTCTGTGGGCCCTACATTTGGGGAGATTCACTGGAAAAGTGGAAACCCTCTGGTTTGAGAGAAAAAACTGCACTGGGAACGGCCAGATCAACTCCCCGGTGTGGGCCAGCAGATCCACCGACACTCCATGCGAGCTCTCCTGTCCTCTTGGGAGGAGGATGTTCACCAGCAATGCCTGAGGGCCGAGCACACGCTTCCAAAGACAAATGAGAATTCAAACC